ACATGATCGCATTCTGAGATTCTGATTCTCACATTTGTTAGAGCCCATCGGGAGAGAAACTTCCCATTGTATGTTACTGTATTAGAGGCACTCGTACCATTGTTCTTTGTGTTAGACCTGTGAACTATTCGCGGTGGCTGCCTGTACACATCAGAGACATGAAGGCGCTGCCACAAAAGATCAAAGATGAGTTTGAAACTCGGAATTACTGGACAATCGCAAAGTCGTCACACAGATACTCTGCGATCCCAATAGACCAAGCGCATAAGCAGGAGAATAAAGTGGTGAAAGCATCCGGTGGTGCAGTAGGACTCACTGAGCATCCAGTTGCCCTCAGACGCTGGATGACCGCTGGACCCGAGCTTGCCAGACTTCTGCGACAGTACGAGAATGGATATCTTCATGACGATGATCCGGAAAACTCCGCTAACTTCGAACACCATGAACAAGGACTTGCAGCACAGAAAACCTTCCAGCGACAGGTTGATATCCTATCTAACACAACACGCAAGATGGGAAATCCCTTCCTGGATGACTTCCCAGAGTTGGTAACTCTTGATAGTCGTAACTGCGCAAATGAGGCGGTAGTGAATACAATCCGTACACTGGAAGACACAGGCACAAAGAACTATCAAGAGTATGTGAAAACCGTGCTCGTGGATCGGAGTCACTCCATACATGATACGATCTCAAAGAATTCACTACCCCTGTTCTCAACAAAGCTCAAAGTCCGATCGAAGGATTGCAAGAAAGCTAGTAAAGGTGCTTGAGAACAATGTGACACTCTTCGGCCAGTTATACATCTCCTTACAAAATAGAGATGGTGACATCAGTGAATTCTTTGCACGGGAAGTTCGTTCGTATCCTCCATCCCTGTCTGAGTTTGGAAAGCTCAATCTGTCTGGTACCAAATGTCATCTGTTACAATGTATCGAGGAACCAAACCAGACAGAGGCACCTGTATTATATGACTGCAAAGTTCTGGATGGTGCGGTGACAGTACATGCATTGCCTGTAACTAATGTCTCAACATTCCAGGAATATGCTGACAACTTGTTTATACCCCATTTGGAATGTCAGCTGCGTGACACAGAGCGAGTGGATGTTGTGTGGAACGAATACCGGCCAGGTAGCCTGAAGGAGGGAACCAGGGAGAAACGAGGCAAAGGTGTGCGTAGAAAAGTATCAGGTGACACCAAGCTGCCGGGCAACTGGAATGACTTCCTATATGATCCAATCAACAAGAAGGAACTCTTTGAATTCCTGTCATCAAACGTTGCGGATTGCAGCATCCTTCCTGAGTGTTCGGTATATATCACAGCTGGAGAGCATGTTACATGTGTTGGAACGCAGATTAAAATGTCCAGCTGCAATCAGGAAGAAGCAGACACTAGGATTGTGGTTCACGTGAAGCATGCTTTGGAGAATGGAGCAAAATCTATCCAGGTGCGAACTCTGGACACAGACGTCGTCGTCGTCGTCGTCGTCTCTGCATGGGTAGCATTTGGAACTGGAAAGAACTACACTCATTACAGCATCAACGCCATTTGTGCCCGTCTTGGTGAACGTAAATCACGTTCCCTGCCCGTTTTCCACTCCTTGTCAGGATGTGATACTACATCAGCGTTTAGAGGCAAAGGGAAGAAATCGTTCTGGCAGGCATGGAATGCTTATGAGCAAGTTACTGATGCCTTTGTTCATCTTGCCGCACATCCGTTTGAGTATATTGACTTACATTCTGAATCATTTCAAAGAATCGAGAGACTAGTTGTCGTAGTTTATGACAAAACAAGTAACGAGATGAATGTTAACAGTGCCCGAATGGAGCTGTTCAGCCAGAAAAGCCAAGCTGTTGACAAGATACCACCTACTCAGAATGCACTACTCCAGCACACTAGGAGGGCAGTATACCAGGCTAGCATCTGGACAACATGCATGTTATCTCAAGAATCGTGTCAAGAATCGGTTTTATTGACTACAAAAACCTCTGATTTGATTTCGCAAATGCCTGTCTGTGACGTCTGTAGCCAGTGACAACATGTGTATTTTTTGTTATATTGGCCGCCATCTTGGAAATGGGTGACCTGAGCAAAATGCAATGACCAGCATCTGTTTCAGTGACCCCGAAAACCCCTGAATTGACACCTCATTTGTTCATTTCCAATTTTCACAGCCAGATATACGACATTTCCTTTTTTCTTGCGGTCATCTTGGATTTTGGCCGCCATCTTGGAAATGGGTGACTTGAGCAAAATGCCATGACCAGCATCTGTTTCAGTGACCCCGAAAACCCCTGAATTGACACCTCATTTGTTTATTACCGATTTTCACAGCCAGATATACGACATTTCCTTTTTTCTGGCGGTCATCTTGGATTTTGGCCGCCATCTTGGAAAATTGAAACCGATCAAGTGGGTTCCACGGATAAAATCAATAGATAGGTCGAAAAGAAACTCCATGCCAAATTTGGTACTTTTGTCCGGCCGGTAACGTTAAATTTGCTAAGCCACCTGACTAGTAAGGTAAAATGCAACTACAGTTTTGATGATATTAATGGTGAATCGCATATCTCTTTTATTGTATGCATATACCCATTTTCCTAATGTGATAGAGAAACGTGGAGTAAAATAGATCACTGAACATAATAACCATTTGACAGTAGCTATAGACGTAGTCATTTCTGCACGCATTACATACACATGGTTCGCACAGTCCTTGAAAAGTCCTTGAATTTGAGGAGAGTCCTTGAAAAGTACTTGAATTTAGTAAATGTTGATTTTGTGCTTGAAAAGTCTTTGAATTTCATGAAAATTACAATGAATTTCATGAAAATGTCCTTGAATTTTTAGAAAGAATCATTGCCTGTAATAAAAAGAAATTTTGTACCATCAATAATGTGCATACCTCAATAAAAATTGCGTTAAATGAGCTTAAAAAGCTATAGACACGATAGACAGTTAAATGATGATCACAAATTACAGTAATTGTCACTAAAATCAGTCAGTAAATCAAGGTATGTTGTAGAAGTGACAGTGTTTAGAAGGGTTTATTAATGTGATCCAGGTAAGTTTTAGAGGTGACATGCAGTGATTAAGAATGGGGTTATTAAATTAATCCATGTATGTTTTGTTCTGTGTATGAATTCTGATAAAATGTCTGATAAAATGTCCTTGAATTTCCGATAAAATGTCCTTGAAAAGTCCTTGAAAAGTCCTTGAAAACAATTTCAGTTCTCCTGTATGAACCATATGATACACGTCGTTAGAGAGCTTTTATACGTGATGAGAAATGTTTGAAACATTGAAAAGTGCTATTTTCTCTCTGATTGTCTGGTGAATGGGAGCAGCGATCTCAATTCTACCTAAAGCCTAGTGCAGACTTGCGACTTTTGGTCGCGCGTCGCTGCGACCTGCAATCGCATGCGATCGGTCGCACGCCTTGCCAAGTGTGCGCATGCAAGCGACTGGCTAGCATTTGGCGAAAAATGGCGCTGGCGGCATGGGCAGTATTTACCCATCATTTCCAGTTGGATTGCGACATCTTTATATGCCGCATGTTTCTTAGTGTGATCGCTGTATTCCGGCAGTGTAACATCAAACAAAACCGGCCTCTCCATCCACATATCTAAAAAAATGCTTTCTTTCTCATCACTCCAGCTTGTTGCTGTGAGCGTAGCCATATTGAAATATCACGTGATGAGATGGTCCTCGCTGATTGGTCGGACGAGAGTTTGTCATCGTTGCAAGTTGCTGTCTACCGGCACACTAGCTCTAGTACTACGTCCCGCGTACAGTTGCTGCAGGGCTATAGAACATGCTATTACGAATGCTAGGGACCAACTTATTCACGGTTACTCGCGGCTATAAAACATCTGTGGTAGGCAATTAATGCCTCTTATCCGAAGTAAATATGTCTTAAAGGGACAGTAGCCTCTAGGATTTTTATCGCAGAAACTAGCATATAAGCAAACTAGCCAATCAGGAGCTAAATGCTTCAGGGAAGCGTAAAACCTAGTTTTAAGCTCTTAAAACCCGGTTTTAAGCTCTAAACTTGGAATTAAGCTCTTAAAACCAGGTTTTAAGGTATAAAACCAAGTTTTACGCCCTAAAACTAGGTATTAAGGTCTAAAACTAGGTATTAAGACCTTAAAACCAGGTTTTATGCTTTTTGGTACAAAATGCTTTCCATATGCGTGCAATGTGCGTGTAACACTTTGCCTGTCTGTGTGTGGCTCACAAGTGCATGTTTGCTCTTTGCTTTTTTTCTTGTTACTGCCTTCAATATAGCTACCCGACTCATGGGGAGAGTCGCTATTGGCACCTGATGACATCAATCCTACCAGTGCATGCTTCGTTCCCACAGTTTCACTCTTTGCTCACAGGAGGGCGCTCTAGAGCAAGCGATGATGGAGGCACTGGCGAGCGACCGAGTTGACTTTGTTAACCTGCTGCTGGAGAATGGCGTCAATATGCAGAAGTTCCTCACCATTCCCAGACTAGAGGAACTGTATAACGTTGTACGTATCCATCGAGAGACGCGTATGCACCCAGTGCTGCACACTTAAGCTCTGACAGGGTGACCGTGGTGTTATTTCCATGCCAGACAATCGATGGCAGACAGGGTGTATGTGACTGTCAGTGTTCATGAACTTGTAGAGATATCGAGTAAGATCGCTTTAAAAAAAATTCTGTCTCTTTCAGAAATGTGGTCCTGCCAATACTCTATATTATCTAGTCAGTGACTTCAAAAAGGTGAGATTGAGTGTTTTGCGAATTCTGAAAATCCGTTTGCGATTTCCAGTGCACTCCGTACATTTCAAGTATGATATGAAGACTTCTGTAGCCAAATCCAGTCAAAGTCAGAGCGCTGTAACTGTTATGTATGTGGTGGTGGTGGTGAATACATGTTCTCGAGTGGTTTTCCATCTCTGGTAATTACTTGAGTGGGTACAGCTGCAGTATAACACTGCAGATTTATACCGACTATCATGCTGTGGTATGTGCAGCAACAAGAACCTCAACCTGTCTGTCGAAAACTTGTGTTGTCAGTAGTATTGACCAATGTCTAGTTCTCGGCTTGTGTCGTGCACTAATCAGTTGTGCGTTTTTACGCTTGCCGCGACGACAGCACATGCCGTTCCACTACACGTACACTCTCATCGACATTGGACTGGTCATCGAGGCACTGATGAGTGGAGCCTACCGGTCCACGTACACGCGCCGCAAGTTCCGCAGCATCTACAACATTGTGATGAAACGCGTAAGTGTGCCCGTCGTCACGGCGACGTGCTAGAGGGCGTGTAGTTAACAATGATACGACAGTAATTATTGATGTGCAGCGCGTGATAAGAGTTTGATGCGCAACAGTAAGACGAAGGTAAGCAGTGAACAGTTGATGTGATATGACAGTAAGCCTTGTCTGTGTCATTAAGTAGGTTGTGTGATGTTGAAAGGCCTGCGCAATTGCAGTTTGCTAGATTTCCAACTAAGCCGACAACGGCAAGTGGATGAATTTTCCCATGAAACTGTCATGCGGAATTGCACCCAATGAAGATGAAACTCGATAGATGCAATTACCAATCACCAAAATCTTCTTTTGATGTCTAACTTCTTGCGACGTCGGGTAAAATCGCACATAAATCTTATGCCACTGGCAGTCAGGCGACGTTAGATGACATCTGATGAATGAAAAATCGATACTCCTCCTACCCAAAATTCAAGTAGAAACTTGATTGGTTCTTTTACTTGCCAGTCACGATTTTGTGGGAAACCATTAACTGATTCCTTCTAATCAGCAAACACGAGAGAGTTTAAGAGCAATTACCTGTAGCTACTCTGGTTCCTACAGATGAATAATGACACAAGTAATGAATTATCGGCAACAGGCATTTGCTGTTTCATTTAATTAGGCAGTATTTAATACACTGTCACAATACCTATTAAAATTGTTGATGGCCAGCTGCTCACAAAAACAAGTGTGTACATACATGGGCTCTTTACTTCGTATCTCATAATAGACAGAGCTCTCCCTGAGTTTTATTTCTTTTGAAAGAGTTGGGAATGCTTTCCCTTTCTCCAGCTCTGCCTACCTGACAGCAATCTATGATCCCTGCTAAATAATGCACTCACTTTTTCCTCATTGCGCTTTATGAATAATGCATATGTGTGTGGTTTATTTTCTGTCTATGGCAGTGTGATCGTCTGAAGACTCCAAACAGAGCTAACATCGTAAGTGTTACGTGCAGAAAATTTTGACTTGTTGAATTAGTTATATTCTTGGTAATGAAGTTATTCTACATTGAGTGATGCTTACATGACATGACATATTGGTTTGTTGCATTATATCTCGTTTTCTAATTGAGTTATTCTGTGTCGACGGTTATTTTGTTACACACCGATGGCATTCATGAGACGTGTAGAAATGATAATAGATTCAGATCGATTGTCCATTCAGCAACCGTTATAGGAAAAAAAACGAGGAAGCTGTTCAGTGTCAGCATAAATCTCCAAGCGAATGCAACCATAGGCATCTATCGCTCACATTGAAGCCGAATCACTGTCAATAGTATAAATCGATACGTGGGTGTGAAACATTCGCTGTGACATGCATATCTGCAACCGTGGGGCATGCGTAGCGTGGGGTGTAGCATAATAGCTCTGGTCCCTCCCTCGCAGGCCAATCACTTGACGAACGTGTACTCCAGTGCCTTCCTTCCCGGCATCAGTGTTACGTCTGCCCCCGAGGCGCACGTCTTTCTCAACCCGTTCCACGAGCTCTTCATCTGGGCGGTGCTCACGAAGCGGCAAAAAATGGCGCTGTTCCTATGGAGACAGGGCGAGGAGGCGATGGCAAAGGTGAGAGGCGAATGCGGCCAGGAGAGCCAAAAGGTCTATACTAACCTTAACTTTAACCTTGTCTAATACTATCCTAACTAATAGCATGACTGATTGCTAGTTATGACGTGATACAGTTATTACTAGGGAGCAGTGATTAGGATATTTAACACAAGGGTAATTAGGACCCATCCCAAAATCATGTTGGGTGGTGGTTATGGTCTGCACTAAAAGAATTATTGAGTGGCGTTCAAACCGATACTAAAGTTGCTTACAGGAAGCTCACGATGATGTTTGCGCATACGGAAAATTAAAACTGCTTTCAGGCTCTGGTTGCATGCAAGCTGTACAAGGCACTAGCGCACGAGGCAGCGCAGGACGACCTAGAAGTCGATGTTTGTGAGGAGCTGCGAGAATATGCAAGGTATTCTCTTACTCCCTGATTCTTCGTATCTTTCACCCCCCCCCTCCGTCTACGCTAGTGTGTGCCATTTCATCTAGCAGTAGCTTTAAAATCGACAGAGGCTCTGCAACAGCACATCAACCTGTCACTGTATGTATTTATTAGTGTCAGACATCTGCTTGTCCCACTTTGATGTCCTTGTTGTGAAATAGCAGAGTCTTTAATCAAACACTAATTGTGAGGAGGCTGTCACCTCAGGCTTCACTGATTGACATATTTGAAGCTAACCGACAGTAATGTGTGGATGCGTCGGAGCACTGTAACATTAGTCAGAATGCATGAACGTATGGCAAATTACAGAGCGAGCGGCTAAATAAAATCAGTTGGTACCTGCTGCTGCTCACGATCGTACACCCACTTACCATGATGTCTGCAACCGTGTGTGACATTTACGAGATATCCTGGCACGCTCCATGCTTACTTTTTATAACATGGTTACTACCTCTGCTGCTCTACACGACCTTGCAGTGACCCCTGCTGCCGTTCACGACCCTGCCATGAGCTCTACTGCCATTCACGACCTCGCCATGACCTCTGCTAAAATGCATACAATTCACAACTTTGTCGTGACCTCTGCTGGCATTTACAACCTTGTCGTGACCTCTGCTGGCGTTTACAACCTTGTCGTGATCTCTGCTGCCATTTCCGACCTTGCCATGGCCTCTGCTGGTGTTTACGACCTTGCCGTGACCTCTGCTGCCATTTACGACCTTGCCGTGACGTCTGCTGCCATTTACGACTTTGCCGTGACCTCTACTGCTATTTACGACCTTGCCGTGACCTCTGCTGCCGTGCATGCCGTTTACGACCGTGCCGTGACCTCTGCTTCCCTGCATGCTATTTCTACTCTTACGGTCCATGCCCTTGCCCTGAAACCCAGCTGTTCTGATCTTGACCATGTCGTGACCTTTGCTGCAGGGAGTTCAGTCGGCTGGCGCTGGATCTGCTGGATCAGTGCTACAAGCAGGACGACGACTTCACACAGCAGCTGCTCACCTACGAGCTGCTCAACTGGAGCAATCAGACGTGCCTGAGTCTCGCGTACACCGCCAACCACCGCGAGTTTGTCGCGCACACCTGCTGCCAGCTGCTGCTCACTGAGATGTGGATGGGAGGGCTGCGCATGCGCAAGAGCACCACGCTGAAGGTGTGTGTGCCTCGTGCCCTCATCCTTCTCCTCGTCCTCCAACCTCCTCCTCCTCCACTCTCCTTCTCCTCCTCCTCTTCCCTTTTCTCTTCCTTGGCCTAGCCAAAGTCACACTTTTACCTGGCGATTTTGCCATTATTCTGATCATCTTTTGACTTTTGATTCCTTGACTCAAAATTGAAGTTCATTTTTTTTCAGGGAAGAATACCTCTAGAGGTCCTCTCCATTGTTGATATGTTGTTAAGCTGTATTTGCCTTCTGCGCAGTATTTTATCCACATCTCCATAATCTCTAACTGACATCTAGCAACACATTCTATCCACCATCTTCTTTCCATAATTCTTTGTTCCTCATCTTACTTATATCTCCTTAACAGCTTATCTGCTTTCTTTTCATTTAACAACCAGCTGGCAGTCTAGTTTTGTTCTTGAAACTTTAGTTGCAACAACTTTGAAAAGAAGAAGGCAGCAGTTAAATGTTACCTGTAGTATCCCTTACACGCTGTGTCGCAATAGTTCCATTGACCTTCTTTTGTGGCTAAAAACGTCACCGGTAAAATTTTGTGCAAGGGAGATAAAATGAGATACAGTATCATTAGTTGAATCGTGTGCTCTAGCATTACATACAGACGCATGTCAGTTGCTTACGATTGCATGTCAGTATAGTCAGGTGGCTTAGCAACAATTTTCAGGATTAACGTTACCGGCCGGACAAAAGTACCAAATTTGGCATGGAGTTTCTTTTCGACCTATCTATTGATTTTATCCGTGGAACCCACTTGATCGGTTCCGATTTTCCAAGATGGCGGCCAAAATCCAACATGATCGCATTCTGAGATTCTGATTCTCACATTTGTTAGAGCCCATCGGGAGAGAAACTTCCCATTGTATGTTACTG